AAAATTCCCATGTTATTCTTATGGAGAATAAGTAAACTGTTGTAGTTTGCTTGTTTATAAACATATTTTGCCCAAATTTGGAAAATGTTTTTATTTCTTACTAACTATTAACATTTTACATAAAAAACACTTTTACCCTCCCTGTTGCAGCAAACCTAAGTATGTTTTAAACTGATTCTATTTAAATAGGGAATAAATGTGATATTTTTAAGGAGACATTTTAGTGTAAATCCATTCAGAGAAATGGAAATTCGCTTAGTCTGCAGGTTTGCTGCGGCGGGGGTATTATTCAAGTACCATTAAAAACTCCCCAGGTGCCGCATACAATACTTTTCCCTTGGATTCCAGCATAACAATAAAGGGATGACCCGGTACAGGTACAGTACATAAGGGTGAACTGTGCTGTAGTGGCAGGTACCAAAATGCAAACCCCTTGTATGGAAGTCTGTTGTGCTATTTGTGATTGAGCCCTCAATTTACCAAAGTTAATTTAAACTTTTTATACATTCTTGCATTGATATGGTCATGGGTATTGGATATGGAGTGTTAAAGCTCTGTAGAGTGGCTGGATATAGCATAATGCTCGTTGCTCTACAGACAATTTAAGCCACAAGACACAAGGTTCTTTAATCCTGGTAGATACCAATCTTCCTGTTTCACCCACATAACACCTTTCACAGGTACAGGTATCGGTCACTTCCTGAGCAACAATATTCCAGAATGGCCGCCAGAACCCTAACTTACGGAACGTTCTACAAGACTCCATATACCTTTGCCACTCTCACCCCAATACAACCTAAGACGACGTGCACGACCTTCTTCAGTTGAATAGTAATTGGCCCCGATGCAAAGTAACTTGCATCTCCATTTAATTATTTCCTATTTAAGATACTGCACTTTAAATCGGTTTGCGGCAACCATCTTAGATAATGAGGGGCTACAATAATTATGGTTTATTGTTTAAACAATTTTACCATTAGGAATAGTGGGGGTAGCTCCATATTTTCAAATGGGAAGTATATAGTCTACTTTGTTATCATTTTACAGGTCTTAATGGAACTAAACAACAAAAATTTAAAGAAAATAATAACCCCGCCACATAAAACCAGCAGACTAAATGAATTTCCATTTACCTTATTGGATTTTCAATAAAATCTTTTACTTTAATACTTTACTTTGATATTGTGAATGACACAATTCCTTTAAAAATATTTAAGTGCTAAAGTAACTATACATTCTAGTTATATCTAGATCAAATTGGGGTCAGTTGACCATATTCAGTTATAGTTGAATTGAATTGAAAATAAGCAGGAGCGATGCTAGTGGGACATCATCAAGTATCAAGTAAGTATCAAGTAATAACTTTATTCATTAATCGGTATGCACATTGAATGGCGTCAAAATACTTAAACCTACTTAAACTTAAAACATAATATCAGCTGTACAGTTCATCAAAATTATACAGTACTTTTTGTGTTAAATATATTTTAAGCTGGGTTTAAAATTTTTTTACAATCATCAATTGTTTACAATCATCAAATTTCCTCAAACACTCTGGAAGCCCTTCCAAAAATGTTCTTCCAGCACATGACGGTTTTTTGTTATAAAATTCCAATCTATGGGCACCAACAGCAATTTTGTTTCTATGCCAGGTGCCATATTCATGGTTATCCCCTAGTTTAGGTAACATTCTTTCAGACAAAAGATTTTTAGTTAATTCAAGAAGGTTGTTAGTCTTATGAATTTTGTTTTGAGAAGAGGATTTAGAGTTCAGCTACTTACCTGAGAAAGATCCAGGGGCTAGTAGATTTCTATTCTTTCCTCTGAAATAAAAGATATAGCAAACAAAACATGCATTTGTCATTTAATTAAAAGTGCATACAATCTAGAAAGTGAATTTAACTCATTGTTATCAAAATTTTTTAGTTTGTTTTAACTTCATCTTGTGTCAATAGGATTTTGATAAGATTGTTGTCACAGTTAAGCTGAACACCTGTCTCTTGATTATATAATAACTAGATTGTACCTGCGACTTTTCCTGTGAGGCTTTAACCATAAATATCATGCAATAACATAAGAAACAATCACAAAAGAAAGATATTATCGTTATTTATTGCCTACCGCACAGTTGTAAAATTGATCTTAGCATTAAAAACTCAACAGAGTTTGAATTGAAATTAAACTAGGAAAGCACTTTGCAAAGGGGGTGAAACGCTGTTCTATCTTCCAAGTAAACATTGGGCCTTCCTTACACTCAACCTTGGTGAGGACCTCTGCACGTAAAGATTTTGCATCACTAGAAAAGGTACACGGACCTTAACTTTTTAACACAGGTGATGGCACTCCTGATAGCTCCTTGGGAGAATATTAAATTGGGTGTTCCACGAGGGTCTATCTTAGGACCTTTGCTCTTTTTACTATATATAAATGATTTACACAGAATTGTTTCATAAAAATTATCCTATGTGCAGACGACACAACTGCAATTATCAAAGCTAGGTCCCATAGGGACTCGGAGCATTAAATTAATTCAACTTTCTTTGATTTGGCAAGCTGGATTGAAGTTAATGGACTGAAACCAACTATTTTATTTTTTTTTACTGCAGTCAAAAGAAGGTTAAAATTCAGAAATCAGCGTTAAGGACCAGTTGATATTGGTGGCAGTGCAAAATTCCTTGATTTGGTACAGGATATTAATTTTTCATGAAGTATCTCTATTGATAATATTAATTAAATTCAACCTGTTACCAATGCTAGTACTACGTAATTATATTGACCGTAAAACTAGAATTAATATTTATTATCCATTCTATTTTTTCAATTATCAACTGTTGGGATTGAGTTCTGGGGATTACATGTGGTTCAGTTGCAGGTCTTTAAAGTACAGAAATCTTGTACAATACAATAATATTGTCATATTTTAGGACATCTATATATATAATACGCTAAGCCGATTTTTGTAAACAGAACTCCTCCCTCATTTTTGGACCGATTTTGATGATTAAAGTGTCAAATGAATGGCCCTGATCTGTAGTTTTGCAAAGTCTTTTTAGTTTTTTGAAATCTTTATTAGTTTGGGCAGGATCTTCCATCAAAGTTGGATTTTCTCCCATAAGATTAACATGGGGGAATCTAAATATTTAATTGGAAACATTGTCTCCATTAATTTGAGAGAACGACTGGGCGTAGAAACTTGGTAGAGGTGTCCAAGGAAAGGTCTCGGTCTCTAGATGAGTTACCAAAAGAGAAACTAAGTGAATCCCGTTAGGGCTCTGCCCCAGAAGCCCTTAAAGATCCCTCCACAGATTTGTTTACATTTTGTCCATGTGGATAATACTTTTTAATGAAACAGCTGTTAATTTTTGAATTGTATTTTAAACAACACACATTTATTGGGAGTTACTGAATTGTCCAAAAGAAGTATTTGCAATGTTATTTTCTGATTTTAAAATTGATTTTCATCTGTATCATGTCATATTTTGCAATATAACGTTCCATTACGAAATCAGTGGAAAATCCTTCACTCCTCCTACTGTGGAAAATCACAGTAACTCTTATTTAACAATAATTATTTCTTATTGAACTATCTTTTATCTATTATTGTACGGGTTGGTGTCTGCCTTTTTCACCACTTTTGGCTATATTTTATCATATTATTCTAGACAGATCATCATAGGTTCGTGAGATTATTGTCATACATGTTTTCAATCATTGGAAAAATCGTCGATTGTGTAATACAATACAAAATAATACAAGGGCAGAAGTGTCTTTTAGCTTTAACATTAACCCCACAACCGATTTCTCAAAACTATACTAGAGGGTAATTCATTGGCACAGAAGTACGATATCCCTATAACCAATTTCTTAAAACTATACTAGAGGGTAATTTATTGGCACAGAAGTACGATATGAACTGATGCGACGTGACGAAGGAAAAATCAAACTTACACTGTGACGGATGGACCTCCCTTTCAAGTTAGAACGTGTCTCCTCAACAAGCAGATATTTCCTCTCAAATAAAATCATAGATTAATCTTTATTACACTGATGAAATCGGGAAAGTTTTTAACTAATAAAAAAGATCCACCAATACGATTTTAATACTATTTAAAGGTTCTTCCAAAGTATGGGAAATATTTTATTCGTTGAATGATCAACCATATTTGGTAACTAACGCAATTAATATCATCATTATTTTTACACTTATCACTCTTTAAACAATGCTAAATGCTCAAAATATGTATAATTTCACTTAATTTATCGCAGTTAGATGAATTAGCGTAAGCCTTGAAAGTAACCGTCGATTTCGACGGGTTTCACCTAGTATTATAAATAAATGGAGAATTGATGAAAATCATAACTAAAAACTGTTCTATTTTATAAATATTCAAGACCTTGGTACAATCTAACTATGAATTTCTTTTTAAATAACAATTTCGACCACAGATATATCACAAGGCTTAAAAATAATTTTTAGTTACCAATCCATCATCTGTATCTCATTGAAAAAACACCAATGTACATGGGCAAAAATCTGTACAGTAAGTTGTAGCTTTAAAAGATATAGCCATTACAAGAGGTTAACTGTAAGAAAGGACCATGAGTTCCTAAGTTCGCCTCAATAAAGAAGGATTTTCATTCATTCATTCAATGACATTTAAAAAGAATTATTTGTCAAAATTGTTACCTTATAGAAAAAAAAACGACTACTATTATATTAATGAATATTTATTGTTAACTACTTTTAAAATCAGAATAAGCATTTTATTTTTAATAATAGGATCTAAGATTGACCAACAATGTATTTACAATTTGACAATGCTACCTGTTTTATAGCTAAGCTAGTAACGTTACTGTGTCAACAAAGTTTGATTTGATTGGATCAACGTGAGCGTAAAGTTTGACAAGCCACAAGCATACACACACTATCAGCAAAGACAAGAGTTATCTAGGAGTTACTTCAAGGGGAGATCTATTTGTTGAATCCCGTCAGTCGTAACTTATATCTCCTACATACCACATCTCACCTTACGACTCTACGATGTCCATTGAAGTTCTTAATTCAAATTCAACCTGCAGACGGACGGCCAAATTCAGACAATACCTGGCAGCAATCCTAGGTAGGTTATAGTTACTGAGCAAAAGGTTTGCGAATAGTTTGTTTAGGGTTTTAGTTTTTGGAGGAAAGAGTTTTTGGCTTAGCTTTAAGGAATAAAGAATGAAAACATTTTATAAGCACTTCCTTTTTGCCTCATTGTAGAGGAGAAAATATAAAATTATTATAACTAACCTTGATGAATATATTATACACCGTAACTAAAAAGTTAATTATAATTAACTTTTTGTGTGCTGTCAACTGCCTGGAACTCTTCCAGGCCAAGTTAAGCTTCCTGAGAATTTTAACAGTTTCTCAAGCTACACAAACCTACAATCTAAATCATGTCAGTCTAAATTTTTAAGTTGTTCTGATTCCTTTTGCATCTAAAATTTTAGCTCATGAAAATTGAAAGAAGTCATGTGGTAAAACAGATGTTTATTTTTGGAGACAGTATATGTGGCTAAAAATTAACAAGGGTTAGTACCACCACAACAACCAACCACACAGCATAATGACTAGCTTTTGGCCTGTCCTACGCACAGGGCCACAGAGTCTGTTAAAGCCGTATTTAATTCAAAGCAGCTAGATTATATATTATGAAATTTGCATTTTTCAAGAGCTTTAATCCAATAAGCTCATGCTAAATTTTTTATGGTGTAGGCGAAGGTGAATTCCTATTAAATTTCATACACATTTTCATGGACACTTCAGGAAAAACTGCATCCCAGTAACATTTTTTTAATGAGTGATATACACATACACTCAACACAAGACAACACACACAACACACAAGACTCAACACAAGAGGGAATTTTCCCTCTTTTAATGAGTGATGAGTGAGTTACAGCCCCGTGACGATTCCTGAGAAAAATACTATGATCATCTATTATTATCATTGTTAATAATTATTATCTCTCAAAATGTGAAAATTATAAAGATGGTTGATCAATTTCTCAACATTACGTTATCTTCATCAATTGAAGCTGTCAATCTTTGGAAAGTACAGTATCTCAAGTTTACTAAATTTTTTGCTTGAATTAGAACACTTAATGTGTTATTATCAAATATACAAAAGCTTTCCTACAACCATTTCAGTATCAACACACAATAACTTTAGCAAAGTACACAAACCTTGAGAGGTATGAGAACATATTAATTCCTTTCTGGTATCTTTTTTAAGAAAAAATAATATAAGTATATTACAATTTATAAAATCATATTTTAACCAGGTCCACTTTTATAAACCTATTAATGCTCTAAAATATAAACCTATCCATCCTGCTGGTGGTTAAGGGGCGTTTGCCAGGTACCCCCTATTCACCACCCGCTCGCACTATGAAAACCGGGGGTCGCTGCTTTTGGGTTTGCCCAAGGCTCCACTGACCCTTAACACGGCCCTGATTTTAACCCACATATTTTACATTTTGATACGTTTTGTCACTTAAATAATATAAGATTCTTGCTGTATTAAAGTTTCCCATTCCAAAAACTCTTGAAAAAAGCCTTACACAACGCTCTGCACATAAGATAGAAAATTACCTACTAACCCACAAATAGTGAACAAAATTGTTTTCCTACAGTCAACCGACAAAGTTGACTTCCTTGTACTGTTTATAGTACAGAAAGTTGCTAATTGCTGCATATTTATACTTTTTTATTTTTATTTTTTTTTTTTGAAAGATTAATTATTTATATGCTTTATAGTGACTGTAGGAAAAATATAATGTGTAACACGAGTGCAAAAGGCCTTTGCTGCACTCAAGATCATTCCGCACGAGCCGTAAACGTTGCTCTCGTGTGCAGCAAAGTGCCACTTTGCTCACTAGTTAGACAAATAACTGTTGAAGTTAAGTTAATAGGCTTTATGTGAGTAAATGTTAACTTATTTCCTACCTAAAATGCTTGACGAGTTTTCTTATGTAAATCGTTCAAAGATAAATTCAAGCTAAGAAAACAAAACTTCTACTTATTTATGTTTTTGTATTTCAGTTAGTTTGTTGGGGCTATGCCTCGGTTCTACAGTGGGGTGGACTTCTCCAATGCAGCCCCTGCTGACGTCTGACAATCCTCCCTTTGGCACGGAACCATTAACCATGGACACCGTATCCTGGCTAGGATCAATCAACTATTTTGGAGCCATCGCTGGAACTTTCTTCTGGGGAAGAGTAGCGGATCGTTTGGGTAGAAAAACAGCCGCAAGTCTAGTGGCTGTCCCGTTTATTGTCGGATGGACCTTGATCTTGGTAGCGCAACAAGTCTGGTGGTTAGTGGTGGCGAGATTTGTTATCGGAATCGGTGCTACAGGAACAATCGTTGCTGTTCCGTTTTTCATTTCTGAAATGGCCGAAGACAAAGTTAGAGGATTTTTTGGTTCTTTTTTATCCATGTTTGTCTTTGGTGGAATACTCTACTCGTACATCATAGGTGCTTACTTGAAGTATCACGGACTGGCTATCCTTGGGCTCGCTGTACCTGTGGTATTCGCTGTAACGTTCATCTGGCTGCCAGAAACTCCGGTTTTTCTATGGAAGAACGGTGAAGAGGAGAAAGCGGAAAAGTCATTGTTGTGGTATCGTGGAGGAGATAAAGTTATGACTGACAAAGAACTTTGGAGACTAAAGGATTTGACCAAAGAGCAAATCAAAAGACCTAATCTCAAGTCGTTGGTCGCGACAAAAGGAACGAGGAAGGCTTTGATAATCGGCATTGCTCTTTGGGTGTCCAAGATAGGCAGCGGGATGTTTCCCATTTTGAGTTTTGCTGTCAATATATTTGAGATGTGCGACACCTCCTTAACTCCATACCAAGCTGCCATTATGATGGCCACAATGCAACTCATATCTGGAATATTCTGTTCAGCACTTGTAGAGCGACTTGGAAGAAAGATGCTCGTTGTAGGCTCTCTAATGACAATAGCCATCACACTAACTGTGTTGGGAGCTTACTTGACGTTCATAGAAGAATTCCAGGCATATCCCATCTTGAAGTGGGTCCCCGTAGTTTGTCTCTGTCTTCACGTAATCGCGTTGGGTGTCGGTATAGGTCCAATGGCTTTTGTCGTTTCCGCTGAAATTTTCCCTCCAGAAATCAGGGGTTTGGCCATGTCCAAGCTTCAACTACTCTTCAGCACTCTTGCTTTTGCGACAATAAAGATGTTTCCGTGGATGAAATTCTACTTAAAACCTCAAGGCTGTTTCTGGTTTTATGGGTTATCTAGTTTCATCTTTTCACTTTTCTTCTGCTTTTACTTGCCTGAGACAAAAGGTAGGACTCAAAATGCAATCTTAAGGCTACTCAATGGTGAAGACCCAAATGAAGATGTGAGTGTGGAAGAAATGAAACAATTGAACAAGGAGGGTAAGGTTATAAAGAGTTGATAAATATTGTAAACGGGTTTAAGTTGATCTCTAACCAAACACGTTATGTGATAAAAAATAATGATTGAACTAAAACGCATTAAATAATATGAATCTATTCTAGTTTGAAAATTTGTTAGATATCAATTAACCATACAAGAGGGAAAATACTACAATGTATACACAGTATTAGATTGTAAATTTTGTACATTTGGATTACGTAATTGTTAAGTTTATACTTGTTTATGTTATTATTTAACCCGTACTTTATTAAATAGAGAAGTATGATCTTTCGATATATTGTTTAGTTCCAAGTGTTCATAAACTTGTACATATCTTAGAGTTTGATCACAAAAACTCTTTTAAATGATCAATGTTTCTGATTTATTCTCGTAATTTAAGTTTTTCAACCTAACCTAGAAAAGTAGAATCCAGCAATATAGAACATGGACCTTTTTGCCTTTAAATTTTGAATCAGTACCTTACGGCCGGGGTCACACACGGCGGTTTTGTCCGCCACATATTATTTGCCGTCGCCGCCCATGAACAATCCTTTGTGTACACACACAACGGTAAAATCTACATTGCCGGAGATTTTCACGAGCTGCAGGAGTAGGGCTCACTTGTGAATGCGTATTACATGGCTTCATGATGCATCATAGTAAGGTTGTTGTACAAAGTTAAAATTTGGTGGTTGGGCAAGTGGGCCTACTTGAAATTGTGAGGGGAGATGATGTCATATATATACATACATACAAATTTTAACAAATAGTGTTTTTGGCCTCTAGGGAAATCAAACTGAAAAAGTATATTGGCGTCGACCCCAGGCCTAGGTCTTACCGTGCCACCTACGGTAATAGCTACTTCCCTATAGGGAAATTCGCTAACAAACTGAATTGTGTTGACCACTATTGTGAATAAAAAATAATAAAATAATGCAATAGATACAAAACATTAACTTTTATTTACAAGTTTGTCTCAGTAGAAAAATATCACACTTAAAATGGAAATGAGAAATCAATTTGTTACAAAAACAAAAGTCAATAGGAAATATTTCTCATTTTAGCCACTCGATGAACTGGTCCAATAAAGACCAGAAGTGAAATATTTTAAATTCCACAATACAAACACTAATATATTACAACTTGAGTCCCGCTCTAGAGATTTTTTAAAAATAATTCACTGCTTCTTGAAACTCTTCAGTATAGGGTATATATTGTCGAATGCTTCGTATATTTCTTGCCGGACTTTAGCACCTGCAAGAAAAAGTTTTAAATGCATAAACCTTTCAGAAACTGTTATTTTCTCTCCATTTAATGAAGAAATCTACTAGCGTTTTTAACAAAGAGTAAAATTGAAAGGTTTCAAAGCAATTCCACTATACTCCATAGAACATAGGCCTACAATATTAATTTTAAAAGAAACACTATGGCTTTTAACAATTATTAATAGGAATACTGAATATTTACGGTTGAAAAGTTATTGTAACTTTATGTGATTTTCCCATTTTTTTAAATCAGATAAAAAAAAACTCTCAAATGATTTTGATTTAAGTTAAGTATTTTATGATTCTTATAATCCTAAACAGAATGTTACAGCTACCATTGTTGTAAATATTACAGTCCAAGAGTTATTCCAACTTTTGTGATTTCACCCATAAAATACTATGCTTTCATCCAAGGCTTTTAGGTTATAAAATCCAAAACCCTAGCATTCCTAGGGTTTCATTTGGTTTCAGAATATAAGCATGTTTTTAACTTGTATTTTTAGAAGATATTTTACGTTTCAACACAACTATACAAATAGGCCTACCTGTTAGAACAACTTTGCCCGAAACAAAGATCAGCAGTACTATCCTAGGCTTCACCATTCGGTATATGAGACCTGGGAATAATTCTGGTTCGTAGCTGAAATACAAAACAGGCTTTTAAAATTTTTTCTTACAAGGAAGCTGAATTGGCATCTAACCTCACATCCTTTCGTATATTCATTAAGGTTATACTATACTGAAAACTGCAATGCTTTGTGAGGAAGTTTTTGGAGAGTTCTTGCTCATTACCAGAAAAAAAGGACTGAACGTCCTAAACTCCTATTTATTTTTCAAACCTAAACACGACACATTAAAAAATAGGTAGTAAAATAATAAACCTATTGGCAAAAGTTTTATGATTTTCACATCTTATTAGAAAGAATGTATATATTTTTATCAAAAGAATAGTTGTTATTTTAGTAGGTAAGAAGAGCTTTTTTACCAGAATAACGTTGGTTAGTTGAGTCTTGTGTTTTGAGAAATGTAGTTATTTTATCATTATTATCATTATTATTTAAGATGGGGACGCCATCTATGTGCGTATTAACTAAGACCCAAACATGAGTGAAGAATGGAGTGTGATGCCTTGTATGGCTTTTTACTGAATAAGATCAGCTGTTTCATTAGTCAGGACCATAAAAGCCCCAATAAACAGCTGGGTCCAGTTTCAAACCATCAAAAAGCTACACACTTTTGCCAGGATCGAACCGGCGACCTTTTGATTACCAGGTGAGCACTATAACCACTCAGCTATGTTGGTCACTAACACTAAATACATTACTTTTTACAGTCTTTAAATTTAGTAACCAGGATAAAAACAGCATTTTTTTATGAACAATATTTATCAAACCAGACTACAATTTCGCCTCCCTGACTCTTTTAGTCAACTGTTTAATGTTTATCAAATGGCCTTTATGTTGATTTTTATGTGCATGTTTGTTTTATAAATTGTTGTCATCAAAAGTTAGCAATGAATAAAAAAAAAAAAAACTGAAAAACTATGATTCTGCATTGACTAGGTACAATACATAATGTTATCAGATTGTGACATGAATTCATGATATTAAATGGTACCTATAGGCCTTATATTGCCATACCATAATGTTATAATAGAAATTAGTTATCATCCAAATAATGACATACCTGCTAAACTGCCCATGAGTCAAGACCAAACCTTCCAATCTAATAGGGAACTTCACGTCACAACTTCCAACCATGTTTTGTATTTTGAAGTCAAGGAATTTTGCCTGAAATAACAAAGATTAAATTAATTTCTCCACAAACTTATATGTTTCATTTTTCATAATTCTTTCAACAAATCCTAAATGTATATATATATATATACTAGCTGTACCCGCGGGCTTTGCCCCGCTTAACTTCATAAGTATTCGCATGGCTCAATCACGTCCTGGTTGAAGTTCGTTCGCTACGCTCACTCACCTTCAAGTTGGAAATCGTTCGCTGCGCTCACTTGTTTTCAGGTTAGCTCGTTCGCTACGCTTACTTGCCTCCAGGTTGATGTTCGTTCGCTACGCTCACTCACCTTTTGGTTGCAAATTAGCTGTTGTCATACATTTAAAAAAGTCATCCCTTTTATTGTTTATAATACAGTACTTTTATAAAGGTTTTTATGTTTTAATATTTAACATTGGAGAATTTAAACGTTGTTAAGTGCACAGGTGTGCTGCGATTGGGGTTTAATACATTTGGACTTATTCAAAAGTAAAATAGTTTTCTGTGCTGCAATCTGTAGAAACACTGTGGCACTATTTCAAATCTATATAAATAAAATTAGAGTTTTGTCTGTACATTGCTTAGAATAATGAACTTTTTGGTTATTTTTACATTTCATAGGTCAGAGAAACCGAATCAAACCTTATCTCAATTTCTGTCTGTCTGTCTGTCTGTCTGTCTGTCTGTCTATCTGTCATTCTCTTGGTAACGCTAAAATACGCACTTTATTACAACTACTCCTCAATAACTATAGCACTGTCCCGCCTGAAACTTATTTTCCAAATACTATACATATATGAGATGGTTTTAGACGTATTTCATCGAATATGAGACAGTTAGATATTTAACAGTAAACCCTTGAAAATCAAGTTTTTGTCGATTTTTGACGTGGAATTTCTGGAAGCCCATGTTAACCTTATGAGAAATGAAATTATTGAATCTTAACAGCTGTTTCAATTAAACAAGTTGGTTCTGTTCTGTGATGTTCAATAGCATTAAAGTTACAAGGATTACCAACAGGGTGCAGCACTAGCACTATTATTTCTTTTACATTTATGACAACAGCTAATTTGCAACCTGGAGGCGAGTGAGCGTAGCGAACGAGCTAACCTGAAGGCAAGTGAGCGTAGCGAACGAGCTAACCTGAAGGAAAGTGAGCGCAGCGAACGAGCTCCAACATACAGGTGAGTGAGCGTAGCGAACGAACTTCAACCAGGACGTGATTGAGCCATGCAAACGAGATCAGATAGTAAAAATAAAAGTAAGCCTACCGTTATAGGATCGACCGGCAGACACAGAGGTAATTTAACCTTTTATTGATTGTCATACCGATCCGGAACAACAAAAAACAACATAAAATGAAGCTATGTATAATAGTTTGGCCAGCATATCTTAAAATATGCAAACCAACTGCTGTTCGTTATATAAGAAGGTTTCAACTGAATATTATAAGATCCCCGTGCGTAGAACGGGTACACAGCTAGTCATGACTAATGCTAATACAGAATGTTGTAGTTATTCAAACGTACAAAACAGTTGGTGAAAGTAAACATCTGCTTTTAAATTATATTTATTTGTAAACATTCTAGATCAAAAAGTCTGACATTGGCCCACTTAAAACCCTCTGGGGCAGAGCCCTTTTGACGGATCTGCACCAAACTTCACTCGAACCATCCTTGAAAGATGCTTAATAATGCCTGAAAGTTTCATTACAATCTGTCAAGCGGTTTCGGAGTCCATAATGTATATACACATATATATACATGCATAGTTCCTCTTTTATAGATATAGATTAAATTATAGTAGTAAACAAAGCACAACTGAGCACCCTGAAATAATCAATATATTTTTCATATAAGTTACATGTTTTGGACATGAGTCCATTTTCAAACTTCAAATCTATATATTACTAGCTGTAACCCGCGGGCTTTGCCCCGTTTAACTTCTTAATTTTCAAGATGATCTTGTTTGCATGGCTCAATCACGTCCTGGTTGAAGTTCGTTCGCTACGCTCACTCACCTTTAGGTTGGAGCTCGTTCGCTACGCTCACTCACCTTTAGGTTGGAGCTAGTTCGCTGCGCTCACTTACCTTCAGGTTAGCTCGTTCGCTACGCTCACTTGCCTTCAGGTTAGCTCGTTCGCTACGCTAACTTGCCTCCAGGTTGAAGTTCGTTCGCTACGCTCACTCACCTTTTGGTTGCAGCATCATAGAACAGAACCAACTTGTTTAATTGAAACAGCTGTTAAGATTC